GTTTGTTAGTTACTACTACGTACTACTTACTTTACTTTACTTTAACGTTTACGTTTTACGTTTACTTTACTTACTACTACTATAAGTTAATTACTTATTAGTAGTACGTCTCTCTCTCTCTCTCTCTCTCTCTCTCTCTCTCTCTCTCTCTCTCTCTCTCCGAAGATTCTTAACAGAGAAAGGAATGAAAGGAAAGGGGTTTAGAGTTCGTCAGAAGGAATAGATTGGCAGATGACCCTATCTTCGTCTAATCAAAACCTAGATTCTTCTGCAACTTCCTTTTCAGTCATTGAAGCTGTTCATCACTCGGCCATTCTTCTTGCTCTGTTTACAGAGCTGAAGTGATTCACCAAACATGAACTCTTCAAAGTCTCCATCCTCATAAGAGACCTTGTAGAACCTGGATGGTGGATCATCTGCTTCAATGGCACCTGAAAATAAGCCGAAACCCTCAAAACCTTTACTTCACAATGTTGCCCACAAACTCCAGCTTCCATTCATATGCACTTTTACTTACTCCTGATAATCCACGCCTTAAAAATTTATGTTTTTCTAATTAAATTGTGGGGTCCATGACCTTGGTTGATTACTCACAATTTGGAGGTGATAATAACATGGGGGAATCAGGTTCTTCAAAGAGGGGACAAAGAGAGAAAGTCACAGAGGAATGAGCCAATATGCTCACCTCATTGGTCATTTGGTACATGGTAGTAAGAAAATTTCAAAGGAGCTCCACAGAATGGCATAAATAAAGATAAGTTCACCATAGTGTTGCAATTTAGCAGTTGGGGAACAATAGAACGGCCCAGCTAAGACCAAGCTATTTTTTCCCTAAATTAGCTTGGGCTTCCAAGGGAGAGAAGAAGAAGAAAGGTTGTTTGGACGAAGGAAAATGAAAATGAGAAAAAAAAGAAAACAAGAAAAAAAAAGAAAAGAAAGAGTAGGGTTTGGACAGAGGAGTATGGAAAATTGAGACCATATGATTTTCAATGTACAGGATCTCAGGTTAAGGTACCATACAACTAAACCAAACAGACCATAGACTTTAGGACATTAGGTCTGACCACGCAACAGCTCATGGATGTTTGCATTAAGAGTTGGAAGAGGAGTGACATTAATAGGTGTCCAAGAACAAAGTGGTGGAAATTAAAAAGCGAGCAAATAGACTAATTTAGGAATAAATTGATGAAAGAAGGAAAATGAAATGACGATGAAGTTAAAGTTAGGCCGAATGAGATGGTTAATTGCAAGAAAATAGCAGAAGTTTTAGGAGAATCAAGAGGAAAAAGGCTTTCATACAAGGAAACTTGGTAGGTAATATAAATGATCAGAATTTAGATTAATATAGAAATGCCAAGAAAATAGTAAATACGGCTAAGCTTAAGGCAGACGATGATTCATACAATAAATTGGGGACAAGGCTACAAGAGAATGTTCAAAGATGTCTTCGAACTCGTAAAAAAGAGAGAGAGGAACTGTAAATGCATTAAGAGTGAGGATAGTGAGGATCATAGAGGCACCATTGACATACATGAGGTCAATTGTCATAGATACTTTCGTAGGATTAGGATATCTAAAGTGAAAGAAGCTTTGAGAAAGATTAAAAGAGGAAAATCTTTATGACCAAATAGTATACCTATAGAGTTTGGAAATTCATGGGAGAGATTGGTTATTCTTGGTGACCAAGCTTTTGAAAAAAAAAAAAAAAAATCCAGATGAATGGAGAAAAAGTGTTGTGGTACCTATTTACAAGAACAAAGGAGACACAAAGTTGTAAAAACTATCCAAGGGTAATATAATGAGTTGTACTATAAAACTGTGGGGAACAGTGATTGAGCAATGATTAAGACATGAAACGAATGTATCACAAAATCAGTTCGAATTTATGTAAAGAAGGCCATCCATTGACGCTATTTTCCTATTAAGGAAATTGATTGAGAAGTTTAAGGAGAGAGACAAGACCTTCACATGGTCTTTATTAATTTAGATAAAGCATATGATGGGCTACCTAGAGAGATAATTTGGTGGGTGTTAGAAAAGAGACGAGTCGCAATATGAAATATTGATGTGATTAAGGATATATACGAGAGAGCGCTAACTAATGTGAGGACAATGAGTGAGGCACAAGTGAGTTCTTAGTGACAGTAAGCCTACATCAGGGGTCAGTATTGAGCACATTTCTCTTCGCTTTGGTTATGGATAAGTTAAACAGGCATTTATAGGATGAAGGCATGTGGTATGTTGTTTGCAGATGACAATTTTGATTAATGAATAAAAACGATGTAAATGCAAAGTCGGAACTTTGGAGGGATGCTTTAGAATATAAAGAATTTAAAATTAGCCTAATCAAGACATAATATATGACATGCAAGTTTAGTAATAATAAAAGTAGAAATTATGAGTTAATTAAGAATGATGGCTAAGAAGTACCTAAAAAAGATTATTTTCAATATCTTAGGTCAATAATCAATGAGAAATGAGAGACTGAGGCACATGTTGCTCATAGATTTAGAGATGGATGGATGAAGGGGAGATGTACTTCTAAAGTATTTTGTGATCTTTGCATACCAATGAAAACGAAGACGACTATAAGACCAACCATGCTTTATAGGACGAATGGTAGGAAGTCAATAAACAACATATCCATAAATTGAATGTAGCTGAGATGAGGATGTTGAGATGGATGAGTGGTAAGAGAAGGAAGGACAAAATTCAGAATTAATACATTAGCAGGAACTTAGGGGTAGCTCTAATATGAGATAAAATCAGGGAAAGTAGACTTAAGTGGTCTAGCCATGTGCAACATCGACGTAGAACAACAACAATTAAAAGGGATGATTTGGTTCAAGTGGAAGGCACTCTAAAAGGGCAAGGGACAAGCCCCAAAGGACATGGATGGAAGTAATAAAAAGAAAATATGATGACTTATGGTCTTGAGGGATGGTCCTTGATAGAGCGAAATGCCAGAACATGATTTATGTAACCAACCCCAAATAATAGGGTAAGACTTAGATAATGATGATGATACAAACCATAGAGTATTACCAAATGGCTAACAAGCTAAAATTACGCAAAATATATTAATTCTAGAAAAGATAGTATGCTCTTGATAAAATCAATTGTCTTCCAAATAGGCCTACAACAATACGTATACACATTCTTTAATAACCCCAAGGAGGACAATAAGATTCTAAACTAAATTACCAAGAACCCCAAGAAAACAAATGACCTAGCTAAAAAAGCTACAAAAAAAAATTTGATCGACACTCAAAAATACTTCAAAATTACCAAATGACTTACCTACGCCACTTTCCACAAACAACACCCTTCAAATTTTGCTTATCTCGGGATTGCCCTAGATCCTCATATAGAACTTCACGGCATTGAATCCAATTCCCAATACGGATCAGAGCAAAAGACTGGCAAGGATCCCATGTCTGTAAAACCCAATAACCCACTACCACATTCAATTTGTTAACTAAAAGAATAGTTTCTACAGGAGGTTTGTACTAGTATATACATAAGAAGAAAAAATTATGCATATACTTGAGAAAAATTTTGCATACATCAGGGGAAGGATCTTACATTAAGAAAGTCATTTCTATCATATTTGATGTCCAGTGGTACTCCTGTGTAATCTGAGTCACTGAAATGCAAAAGGAAATTCCAAAAGTAAGCAAGCACACCATCTACAATAGATGGAGAACACTCATAAGCATAAAAATAACATAAATATGAGAAATTTAATAAACAGATCACTATTCTCTTATCTATTTTACCTAGTAGTGGTTTACAAAGGGTTACACCATTAACAATGGCCCACAAAGTTCAGACCACTATGCCACAATTTTTTTTTCGTTTTACGACCAAATTTGTATGCCAAATCTGTATGTACCAATAATGTACCCTAGACAATGAGGGTACTGCTTTATAAAATTTACAAAAGCACACTTCTGCTACTAATATTCTTCCCTCTTAGTGTAAATAGCTTTATCTCTTCTAACTGATATTGAGCATCTTACCTAATATGGCCAATTTATAATGATGTCAATAGTTAATTTATTAAGCAACCACCATACAATTTGCTCAACATAAAGCAAAGGGGGCATGCAAACATACTCTAAACTTGGACCAGACCAATCAGGAACATCTGCTTGAAAAGCACTCCCAATTCGAACCTGCGTGTCATACGGTTCGGTATCTTGCAACATGGATGAGAAAACATCGGATTTGCTGTCTTTTCTCCAAATTTCGTGGTTTTCTTTCAAATCCTTGTCAGAATTCATGGTGCTTACTTTAACCATTGGCTTGCTCTTCTTTCTCAGACAATCTTGACAATACCAATCATCAACTGGTATCTTTTTGGCTCTGTGATTACAACAAGACACATGACAGGCTTCTTCACACATGTCACATATCAACATTTTAAGTGAATTTTCTGCACCCCCACATATTTTGCATTGCATCAAATATCCATAGACTTCAGTACTAGCACATTCTTCATCAAGCCTTAACCCTCCCAACAGGCCATAGATCTCCAAGGTAGAAATCACCACTTCATTAGTTGTACGATATCCCCCTATATTGCTAGGACCTCTGAGTTTAGAGACGCAATCTCCTGCCACAGCTGCTTCATGGTCTGTGGGAGCCAAATCGCTATCCAAAATTGAGTAAGGAGAATTTCCATTGATGCATAAGTCTTGATCCAGTCTTCTAGCCGATGAAACCATTAATCCCTCATCATGTCTCCTCTCTCCACCAATATCAATTTTAGATTGTGAAATGAACTTTTCATCAAGTTTCCACGTACCATATGACAGATCATTGCTAAATACTGGTAGAGGCTGATCAATAGCTTTGACCCCAAAAAGACTACCTCTGATATTAGGCTCTGGAATACCATCCTTCTTTACATCCAAAGTAAGCATTTCAGAACATAAATCACTATCATATATGCTCTCCATGGAGGAACACTTTGATGATTGTTCTGATAAATCTGTAGGAAAATTCTTTGGAAGCTTCCTTCGCTTGTAGACGTGACTACTCATACTGGGTTTAGGACTTGTGGAGAAGCTGGATACAGATGAGAGAGAGCATGATGTAGAAGGAAAGCCCGAGAGAGCATTGGAATTACATTTTGGGGGCGCTCCAGAGAGAGAATCAGAATCACATTTCGAAAGGGCATGCTTCTTCCCAGTCCTCAAATTATAGATAAGATCAACATGTTGGTCCTTTCCGTGGTCTGAGACAAAGGATAGATCTGCTGGGATAAAACCAGGAAGGGAGCTCAGCATTGCTGTTTCAGTTTTACACTTGTTTAAATCATGCAGGGTATGAGCATCCTCTAAAGATCGTTCCAATATAGCTAGAGATTTCCACATGATAGAAAATGGCATTATGGAATCATTATGGAATAATATATTCCAGACTGGACATCATTATTGTCCATAAATGCCTGTATCAACAAAGTATAGTATGAGGTAAATTCATAATAACAGGAGAGGAATAGCATCAAATAAAACCAAATAGGTATACAAAATCTGCATCAGAAGAATGTATATAATGTAAAGGAAAAAAATTATATAAGGTTCACACCTTATACTATAGAAGTAAGGTGCACCTAAAAATCCATAAAAAAGAGTGTTCCCAAGTCTGGAACAATTGATCACTCGACCTCTAGATGCATGGATATAAAGAAGAAAATAAATATCAAGTCCTAAAAATAATGCATCTTGTCACAAGTTATCTGCACCATCTACTTTCAAGATTTTCAAGTGTTTATAAATCTGCTCGATCTGCACCATTTTTGGAAATTTAAATTCCATAACATGGATTTTTAAGCCATCGCAGAGTTTCCGACACCCAAATCATTTTTCATCAAAATTTAGAGGTGCACCTTACTTGTATGGTATAAAGTAGTATAGTAAAACATGTTCCCCCTAACAATCATTTAGCCCCAAAAGTGCAGTCAGTTTCAATGGATGACGGGCTTGGAAAATATTTCAATCAGTTGGATTCCATATATATTTCTTCATGGAAAAGGTTCCTAAATTTGTCAACGGTAGTGTGTAGAATAAAACACAATGAAGGTTACCTCCATCAATTATAACTGGAAAATGAACTCATGGAAATTCTTTCCAACTTCAAATTAAAATTTCAACTCAGAATATGAAGAAAGAACTTGTTTGGGAATTATATCAATGTCAGAAACAGTATAGCTAACCCTACTGCCATGGTCTGGTGAGTTTGAATAAGCATAAGAACATCTACAACTCTAGCGTCCATTTTTGGCACCATAACCATGTTAATATCATTTGAAGTAAAAAGAAGTTTCCATTATAAATGAATGTGATGCACTAAAAATGCACCTTGAAAGCACAACCTTACACAGGAGAATAACAAATATGCGAGATAAACCAAAGAAGGCCCTGCACTCTCCAAGTAAGATGTAGGAGCACGAACAAAACGGAAGATGATGGGTTGGAGGAGAGTAGGTTTAGGTTATTGAGGCTTGTCATGTAGGAACTACTTTGGAGATTGTAGATGAAGAACGGGTTTGGATTTGCTGATTGAGGTTTGGATCGGGATGTTTGAGTTTTTGAAGAGAAAAGCATGGCAGGGTTTTGGTGTGATGATTGTGAATTAGGTATGTGAATAAGAGATGGTAAGACTGGTCTTAGAAGCGCTCAAGAAGGATGATGGGTATAGATGAAGGGGTAAATGGCAACAGACAAAAAGATAAGGTAGTGTCGCAATGAAAGAGCACAACGTGAATGGATTCAGCACCACCAAAAATCAGGCGTTCGTGGAATCATCACCTTAACAAGTACGAACAATTTGCACCACAAAAAGGGTTGTGAAATCAACATCACAAAGACAAAATAAACACCATCAAAAAGCTTTCAAAAAAGCAACTTCTATTACTCAAGCATGATCTGGCAGCTGGTCCTTTACATGTGCATTTACGATCCTTTTGACTCTTAGACTCGTCTTACTTGGACTACAAGGAACCTGAGCTCGACTAAGACTCCAATCACAAAAAGGAAACTCAATACAAAGAAACCTAATTAGCTTAGGGACCCAAAAAATAAGGAAACCAAGACCCCAACTAACACAAGGAAACTCTTCCCTAAAACCAAAACAACTTAAATGGGGTTAAAGAGGACTTCAAACTAATTAAAAACCTAAAAATCACAATTAAATTCATCATACTTCTTGGCATAATCTGGAACTCATGACATTTGAATAAACAGTAGTCAAAAGAGAATTTTTATAGATCTCAATGATCTTATAATTGATCTTTGATCACCCGAAGTTGACATCTAAGCCCGAGCAAGATTCTTTGGAAGCAGAATGAATCAAATTCATCCTTGCCAAGGAACATAAGATCCATTTTGACAAAACTCATTAATGACAGTTTTACAAAAGAAGCATCTAAAAACCATGCAACAACCCTTATAACAAAGTATTTATATTAGCAATAGTTACTGGGATCACCTACTTTGATTGGCAACTTGTTCCGGAGGCTCGGTCCTAAGATCCCAAAAAAGAGATCTTCTACGGATCTCATTTTTAGAATTTTGGATATCAATCCCTTCTTCAAGGGATGGAGTTCCATTCCTCATGCGATTGAGATCCATATTTCAATGGGATCTAGTTCCTACGTGTCAACGTTCTCAATCCTGAGAGTCATGGGATCCAAATTTTATTACATCTGGGATTCCATTACTCTGAACAAAGGAACCATATGTCTACTACAACCAGATTCCACCAATAAAGGATCCTGGTTCTAATCCTACAGTTCGTATTGATGATTCATTAATGAGGGATCGAGCTTCAATCAAATCGGTATCAAGTATCAAAAGCCTTGTGTAGATATACATTAAATGAATTGATTTTTATAATATAACAATATAATAGACTATAGAATGATTGAAAGTTTCTAATTTCTTTAATAAAAGTTAAGTTTAGAAAATATTAATTTAAACAATGTTAGAACTATGCTATTGAGCCAGAGTTGAAGTCCTCAAAGGCCTCATTTTTCAACTCTATGGAGCCCGCTCCCATAAAATTTGTCATTCACTCTAGCATATGTTGGGATCATTTTCCAGCTACTCTCTAGTGGCAAGGAACCTTATTTAATTGCAGTGGGGAACTATGATTCTTAACCAATGGATCTCAGTCCTGAAATTTAATCACTCGATCCTGACTAGTTTGGGATCACAATCCTAGTACAAAGTGATCAAATTTCTTGGATTGATAATGTGCAGACAACCAAATCATAAGGAGCTTTTGGACAACCACAATTTGTTGATCCCGTTTGCAACAACTATGATATTAACCCCAATCAAACCTTAACCCTAACTAAAAAATACATGAGAGTCCTGATCATCCTTTTTTTTTAGAATGTTAACATAAGAAAGTCCTCCTCCTCCTCCTCATCATCATCAAAACCTTTTCCCAAACTATTTAGGGTCGGCTACACAAATCCTAGTCCACCATTCTGCTCTATCAAAGGCTATACCCTTAATGGCGCCATAAGTTCCCATGTCTTTTTCTCACTATTTCCAACCATGTCCTTTTGGGCCTACCCCTTACCATTTTTTAGCCTTCCACTTGAACTAACTTGCACCTCTTAACAGATGTTGTACTGGGTATGAGTTGCTCATGACCAACCCATCTAAGTCTACTTTCTCTCATCTTATCCCCCATTGGTGCCACATCTAAGTTCTTCTGAATATATTAATTTTGAATTCTATCCCATCTTGTCTTGCCACTCATCATCTCATCATCTTCATCTTAGCTACACTCATCTTATGGGTATGTTGCTTCTTGACCACCCAACATTCCACCCCCTATAGCAAAGTTGGCATCACAGATGTCCTATAGACCTTGCCCTTCACCTTCATTGTCATGCAGCGATCACATAAAACTCTGGTTGCACTTCTCCACTTTGACCAGCGCCCCGCCGAGCAATGGAATTCTTTTTTCTTGCTGTATATTTTTTTTGAAACATAAAAGGTTTTAAGGATGGGTTTTAGATTCAGTTGAAACTTAAACGCACAAGAACCCATTTTAGAGAGAAAGAAACCTCAAAAAAACTAAATTTTGTGACTTTCATTGGATCGAAGTGTTTCTCAAAGTTATCAAAAATGGATCCAAACATCACCTAGGTATATTTGATTTGGTTTGGAGTTTTATAATCTTATTAGAGAGCGTTTTTTATTATAATGGCACCAGAAAACATCTCATAGGTAGGAGTTTGGAGTTCGAGCAATCAAAGTAAGTGCAAATTTTTATTTTTTAGATTGCTTGTTTTATTTTGAGATGTCTTCTTCAGGATCTAGTCGAAGTAGAAATCCGGGTTGGAAATATGGATATAACCCGAATCCAAATGACAAAAATTACATTAGATGCAATTTTTGTGAAAAAGATACGAAAGGGGTCATAAACCGGTTTAAGAAACATCTTGGAGGTATTAAGGGGGATGTTGCCCCCTGTAAAAATGTTCTAGAAGCTATCAAAGAGGAAATTAAGCAATATATGAGTTCTGTAAAACAAAAACAGGAACAAAATCCTTGTCATTTGAATAGGTTTATTTATGCTACTTCTAAAAGAAGTGACCCGGGGTGGAAGTATGGTTATAACCCAAAGCTAAACGATAGAAATTGTATAAGGTGTAATTTTTGTGAAAAAGATACCAATGGGAATATTAACCGATTCAAGAAACATCTTGCTGGTATTAAAGGGAATGTTGCTTCTTGCAAAAAGATTCCTGAAGCTATTCGGGATGAGATTAGACAACTTCTGAGTTTAAGATACAGAAAATGATGAAAATGAGTCTGGTTATGTGGAAATATCTTCTCCATGTTCTTCTAGAAGTGGTGATCCAGGTTGGAAGTATGGTTATCACCCGAATTCGAATGACAAAAATCGTATTAAATGTAATTATTGTGGAAAGGATATTAATGGGGGCATTTACCAGTTTAAAAACAGCTTGTCAATATTAAGAGGGATGTCGCCCCACGTAAAAATGTTCTTGAGGCTACTAGGGAGGAAATTATATAATATTTGAGTTTAGGGAGGCACAAAACGATGGAAAAGCGTAGAATAGCCAAGACTCCTATGGCCTCATCTACACATACGAGTAAGAGGAAGGTAGAAGAAGAAGAGGAAGAAGAGGCAGATTCAGAAGAAACGGAGGAGGGCGAGCATTATATTGAAGAGGGAGACGACTTTTATGATGATGGCCTTAATTCTGCTGCATATAATGAGGCTTACCCTATTCCTTCTGATGATGATGATGATGAGTGAAGAGTGAAAACTCTTGGTGTTGATTGTGTTGACTATTGTGTCCTAGACTGTATATTTTCTAAGTTTTTGTATATTGTTTTCTTATTTTTAGTTTCTACTTTCTAGTTTCTAATTCTATTATCTAACTTTTGTGTGCACAGTCTACAGCATATCAGACTATCAGTGTATGCTTAAATGGTTTTACTGTTTTAGCATTGTATGAAAATATGGGTTATGGTCTTATAATTTATTAAAATTCTCTTCCCGACTTCTATCTTCTTTTTTTAACTCGGATTTTGATCCCATGGATTATCAAAATTCTTATGGATTATGGCCTTATGGATTATCAAAATTCTTATGGATTAATAATTATCAATCATCACTTATCAGTTGTTTTTTCTTCAACTGGGCCGTACAGGTTCTGAATGCCCACCTAGGTAGCCGCCTAGGCGCCGCTTAGCGCTTTTTAAAATACTGACGAAGTAACATAACTCCTCTTGAACAAAACCTACTAATCATGGGACCTCTTTTAGGAATTGAAATATGTAGACTTTGAGCACACTTAGAAGCTGCATCAACTATAGTTACTCAAAACTGTAAAAGACTTCAAAATATCTTCAAAGGAATATTCGTAAAGTGCAATACAAGAGCTAATATGAAAAAGATTCTATATACAAGTCAAGGGCT